GCCGCTCCCGGCCGCCGCCGCCGCCGCCGCGGTCGTCGCCGCCGCTGTCGCTGAGGGCGCGCGCCCGCTGCAGCGGCGGCCGCACGCGCGCGGCGTCGCCGCCCTCGTGCCCAGCCCCACCGCCGCCGCCGCCGCCGCCGCCGCCAATGCAGCGCGTGCCGAACGCACGTGCCTTGAAAGCCTCCTGCACAGCTGGGCCATACGGGTTGAGCAGGAAGTCGCAGAGCAGCTGCCGCCCCTGTATGAGGTGGGGCGCCACCTGCTCCTGCGCGTCCGACACCCAGCCCCTCAGATCTCGCGCGAGCGGCGCATAGTCCAAGGATAGGAACTGGTCAAACGGCGATCTGAGCAGCGCCTCGGGGTCCTCGGGGTGCCCGAGGCCGTAGATCGACAGGCAGCCGGCGGCGTCCGAGGCTGCGATCATCGAGCCGTCCGGGCTCCATTTGGCGTCGACGAGCGGGAGGACGTCGGTCCAGCGGCCGCCGGCGAGCGGGAACGTGTCGGCGCCGTCGAAGCTGCGGGGCGCGGCGTGCGGGGCGGGCGGGGGGATGGCGGCGGGCGCTGAGAGGCGCGCCGGCGTGCAGCTGGCTGGGCGGCCGTAGTCACGAGAGGCGGGCAGGCGCGCGGCGGGAGGGGCGGAGCTGGGTGCGGCGCATCCGTTGCGGACCGACACACAGACACGCAACCGAGGCGTCCCTGCCGTCCCTCCACCCTGCTTCGGGCGCTCATCCGTCTTGTCCTCATGCCCGCTTTGCTCACATCCTGAGCACCTCGCCCGTCCGTGCATCCCAGATCGCGAGCAGTCCGTCGTAGCCGGCGCTCAGCGCAAGCCGGGGGTGGAAGGGGTGAGCCTCGACGAGGTGCGCGGGGCGGCTGTGCACCGACAGCGAGTGCAGCTGGCGGCCGCTGGACGCGCACCACGCGCGCACTGTGCAGTCCGACACCGCCGCGAGGATCTGGATGAGCGGGCGCAGTCCACAGTCCATGCCCCGGTGGGGTTAAGGGGGTGGGTTGGGGGGGGGGTGAGTGAAAGGGCGGGCGCGGAGGGTTGCGAACGGTGTTGGAGGCCCAGGGGTGGTCGCGCGTGCGATGAATGAGCGGGGCGCGGTCAGGGTGGGTGCAGGGGGGGGGGTTGCGGTCGCAAGCGGGAGGGGCTGCTTGGGAGGAGGTTCTAGGCAGCATGTGCTTGCACTGGGATCTGGAACCTCAAGACCGTCGCCGACGCCAACCTGGGGAGCCCCGTTGACCCTGGGGGCCGCACGCCCACCGTGGGCCGCTCACCGTGGCGTCGTCCAGGGTCCAAGACACCTGGTTGACCTCCAGCGGCGCGGGCGGCCGCCGCTTCCTGTGGGCCTGCGCCTGCGCCTGCGCCTGCGCCTGCTGCTGCGCCAGCTGCGCTGTTGCCGCGGCCGCCGTCCCTGCTCCGCCGGCGCACGCGGGGCGCTCCGCCGGCGCGCACTGCAGTGTGACCGCCTCCTCCCACCGCTGGTGGTCGGGGCCCGCCGCGCCGGGCGGGCCGGCGCCGCGGCGGCGGCCGCCGCGGGGGGCGGACACGCGCCAGACGCGCGCGGTGCCGTCGCGCGACGCGGTGGCCATCGCGGTGCCGCCGTGGCTCCATTTGATCTGCGTTGAGGGGCATACGTGATTGGGGGTGTGATGAGGCGCCTCGCGCGCGTTGAAGCACGCAGCCGCTCAGACGGACTGCTCAACAGTCTGGCCCTTGCTGAAGCCGCCAACGCTAACGCCACAATCTGCGACCCGCATGCGCACATCCGGACGCAGTCGCACATCGGCACACACACCTCTGCATACGCACATAGAAAGGTATAACCTGAACTCCATGATGCAAAAACACACACCTGGGTGACGTCATTTTTGTGCCCAGTCAGCCTTGCCACCGCCTCCGGCTCTCCCCAAGGCACCCTCATCCCGCCCGCCGCCGCCCGCGCGGGCTGCTCGCCGCCGCCGCCGCCGCCGCCATCCTCCGCCGCACCATCTTCACGCCCGGCCGCAAGGGCAGCTGCAGGAACTTGCGAGTCCTGCGCGCCCACTGGCGCTGCCGCCGGCTGCCACCGCCAGAGGTAGCAGGCGCAGTCTGTACCGCCGGCCGCCAGCATCGTCCCGCAGGGGCTGAACGCACAGCACATGACGGTCACGCCGGATGCCTGGCCGATTCGAGCGGGCGCGGGCGCGTCCAGCCCAGGTAAGCCCCCACACGCTGCAAACATTTGCAGAATTGCTGGGGTGCAGGGCCGGCCTGTTTGGGTCCAGCCGCCGCCAACAGGATCAGGGGCCTCCAGCTGCCGCTTGGCCCTGCCTGCCCTCATTCCTGCGACAGCCAACAGCAGCCCGACGCGGTGGTCGCCCCCCACCCACTCACCTGCCCCTCGTCGTCGCTGCCGGGGACCTCTGAGACCCCCCCCTCCACGCGCTGCTGCTGCCCCCCGCCGCCTGCCGGCGCTGGCCCAGCCGCCGCTGCAGCACCTGCGCCGCCGC